TGGGCATGGGCCCCGTCATCAGAGAGAGGGAGGCAGACGGCAGGGAACTGTTGTGTCTAATGAAGTCCGGGCCATCGTCGTTGACCATGTGGTAAACAAAGGCCTTACCATGGCAGAGGCAGCCAGATTAGTTGAACTGCCAATTCGATTATGAGAACATTTCGCCAAGAAAACCGATACGTCTGCAGGATATGCACTATGCTTTACCATTACATTTACAGTAAATGACATTTTGTAATGCATGTAAATTGACAAAACATGTTTCAGTATTCTTACAGTATGATCTATTGACAGTATACTCTGTTCTACACTCAGAATTGACGGAAGACCCCATGGTGATGGCCGTGTGCTGACCGACTACCAGGAGTGGGCAGTGGTGGAAATGGTGAGGACCAGGAATGACATACGGCTGTCCGAAATAAAGCAGGCCATTGAGGAGAACGATGACACCTTTGCCAATGTGACATCCATTTTGTTTTATTTATTTATTTGCACCAAAGAAAACATGTGATAGACAACAATACAGATAAAAACAATTTTTTTAAACGGTGTGCAGGTGTGGTTGGAAGCCCAAGGGTTTATATGAAAACCACACCACAAAAAAACAATATACAATACTGTCACGCCCTGGCTCTAGGGACTCTTTTAAGTTGAGCCAGGGTGTTAGTTTCGATGTGTAGTTCTATGTTTCGTTTTCTATGTTCTTGTTCTAGTTTATGTGTTTCTATGTTGGCCGGGGTGGTTCCCAATTAGAGACAGCTGTGGCTCGTTGTCTCTGATTGGGTACCATACTTAGGCAGCCTTTTGTGCACTTGTCATTTGTGGGATCTTGTTCCGTTTAGGTTTGTGTTGTATGACCGAGGACTTCACGTTGTTTTGTTATGGTTATAAAGTACGCATTAAAAGATGTACGCATATCACGCTGCGCCTTGGTCCACTTATTACGACGATCGTGACAGAAGATCCCACCAAAACAGGACCAAGCAGCGTTTCCAGGAGCAAACACCGGAGGTAACGTTGGTAGATGTCCTCCTCGGTTGGGGGAGGATAACGGAGGAGGAGGCCGTCCGTTACCGGAGGGCGATGAAGGGGGAGACCCAGGCAGGAGAGGAGAAGCGGCGCCAACCGGGCCGTCGCTGGACAGGCGAGAGGCACCCCCAATAAAACATTTTGGGGGGGCACACGGCATGGACGACGGGGCTGCTGGAGGCAGATACAGGGCGAGTTTGTGGACTAGGAGAGCAGGCCACCAGGTTACGGGGGCCATTGGTCATTAGAGGGAAGGAGAGTGTAGAGGCACGGCGAGAGGTACTGGGGTGTGTTACCAGTCCGGTCCGGCCCATTCCTGATCCCCGCACAAGGCCAGTGGTGTGTGTTCCCAGTACAGTCCGGCCTGTTCCTGTCCCTCGCACCAAGCCTGTGATGCGCGTCGCCAGTACAGTCCGGCCTGTTCCTGTCCCTCGCACCAAGCCTGTGATGCGCGTCGCCAGCCCGGCCCGGCCTGTTCCTGCCCCTCGCACCAAGCCTGTGGTGCGCGTCGCCAGCCCGGTCCGGCCTGTTCCTGCTCCCCGCACCAAGCCAGTGGTGCGCGTCGCCAGCCCGGTCCGGCCTGTTCCTGCTCCCCGCACCAAGCCAGTGGTGTGCGTCACCAGCCCGGTCCGGCCCGTTCCTGCTCCCCGCACCAAGCCAGTTGTACGCATATCACGCTGCGCCTTGGTCCACTTATTACGACGATCGTGACAAATACAAAGTAAGTACAAAAATCTAAAAGGTTTGTTAAAACAGATAACAAAACCTAATAATTATAAATGAATTGATCAGTAATCACATAAAATATATATATATATATATATATATATATATATATATATATATATATACACAGTACCAGTTTGGACACGCCTACTCATTTAAGGGTTTTTCTTTATTTTTTAAAACTATTTTCTACATTGTAGAATAATAGTGAAGACATCAAACTATGAAATAACACGTATGGAATCATGTAGTAACCAAAAAAGTGTTAAACAAATCAAAATACATTTTATATTTGAGATTCTTCAAAGTAGCCACCCTTTGCCTTGATGACAGCTTTGCACACTCTTGGCATTCTCTCAACCAGCTTCATGAGGAATGCTTTTCCAACCGTCTTGAAGGAGTTCCCACATACACTGAGCACTTGTTAGCTGCTTTTCCTTCACACTGCGGTCCAACTCATCCCAAACCATCTCAATTGGGTTGAGGTTGGGTGATTGTGGAGGCCAGGTCATCTGATGCAGCACTCCATCACTCTCCTTCTTGGTCAAATAGCTCTTACACAGCCTGGAGGTGTGTTGGGTCATTTTCCTGTTGAAAAACAAATGATAGTCCCACTAAGCCCAAAACAGATGGGATGGCGTATCGCTACAGAACGCTGTGGTAGCCATGCTGGTTAAGTGTGCCTTGAATTCTAAATAAATCACAGACAGTGTCACCAGCAAAGCACCATCACACCTACTCCTCCATGCTTCATGGTGGGAACCACACATACGGAGATAATCCGTTTACCGACTCTGCGTCTCACAAAGACACGGCGGTTGGAACCAAAAATCTCCAATTTGGACTCCAGACCAAAGGACAGATTTCCACCAGTCTACTGTCCATTGCTCATGTTTCTTGGCCCAAGCAAGTCTCTTCTTATTAGTTTCTTTTCAGCAATTCGACCATGAAGGTCTGATTCACGCAGTCTCCTCTGAACAGTTGATGTTGAGATGTGTCTGTTACTTGAACTCTGTGAAGCAATTTATTTGGGCTGCAATTTCTAAGGCTGGTAACTCTAATGATCCTCTGCAGCAGAGGTAACTCTGGGTCATCCTTTCCTGTTGCGGTCCTCATGAGAGCCAGTTTCATCATAGCTCTTGATGGTTTTTGCGACTGCACTTGAAGAAACTTTCAAAGTTCTTGAAATGTTCCGTATTGACTGACCTTCATGTCTTAAAGTAATGATGGACTGTCGTTTCTCTTTGCTTATTTGAGCCGTTCTTGCCATAATATGGACATGGTCTTTTACCAAATAGGGCTATCTTCTGTATACCTTTGAATGAGTAGGTGTTCTAAAACTTTTGACCGGTAGTGTAGATGGATTTCAGAATTAACCTGGAAGAATCCATTGAAGGGTTTAGGTAAACTGTCTGGGAGGTATGAGTATTAGTAGATGAAAGTGCATAATTGGAGTACATTAATGTCGTAAATAGACAAGATATGGAGTTTCTTAAACAAAGCTGCAGATGGAGCCAGGTAATTAGAGGAGGTGACTATTCTTGAAAATGTATTTTGTATGATGAGTAATTTGTGTAGGTAGGAAGCATATGTACTGGCCCAGACAGTAAATGAGATATGGGGTAAATTAAGCTATAGTATAGAGTTAAGAAGCAAGCCTGATGAACCAAACCACTAATCTTTCTGATGATACCAACAGATTTCATCACTTTGCTGCAGACAAATTGACAATCGCCTGCCTTTTGAAGAGGCACCAGGTATCTATGAAACACAATTACCTGGTGCCTTTTGAGAAAAACAACGACCGAGTGAAAAAACTGCCGGCCGAGTATGTTCAGGTACAGCACTATATACTGTATTACTGTTACTATTTGATGCGCATGCTACTTCACAATATTATATTGGAATTATACCGTAAAAATAACTAACCAAAATATATTTTTAGAGGGTGATGGTGCTTCATGCTGCTGTGGACCATCATAAGTATATCTTTGTTGATGAAACGGGCTTCAACCTGGCCAAAACTCGTTGCCGTCGGCGGAACCTCATCGGCCAACGGGTGACCATCCAAGTTTCTTGGACAATGTGGGGGAAACATCTCCATGTGCGCAGCTATCTCTGAAGATGGTGTGGTAGGACGTAGGCCATTACTTGGATCCTACAACGCTGCACACCTCGTTGTGTTTCTCAATTAAATTGAGCAGGCCTGTCAAGGTCAAGGGGTCACCTATGTCATTGTGTGGGACAATGTCAGGTTTCACCATAAAGAGGGGGTTCAGGCAACCCTATTGAGGAATTTGTTTCATCATGAAGGTGGAAGGTGTACGATCGCCATCCCCATGAGCATGCCACCCTCCTTCTGGCCATGGATGAGGCATGCGACGATGTCAATGCAGACCAATGTCAAGCTTGGATTTGCCATGCCAACAGGTTTTCCCCGCTGTGCATGAACTATGAGGACATTCACTGTGATGTCGATGAGAATTTATGGCCAAAAGCTCAATATAGGCTTGATGCAAATTAATGCATGCTAAACGTTATGTTTTATTTTCATTTATTTTATTTGTTTCATTTAATTTCTTACATTTGATTATAGACAGTACACCTATGTTGCAATTATATCTGAAAAATATAATGTTTTTTTGCATGAATGATTGTAGAGGATGTCTTCATTGATCACACCTTTGATTACACAATGGATAGATATTATGGAAATTATAGATTTTCGGTCAATTTTGTTGGGTAATGTAAGTGTATTGCCTAATGTGAAAACTGTGTAATTTACAGTACTGTAGCATATTACTTTCAGCACTTCTAAGGGCGATTTGAAACACGTATCTTGCATTGTTTGCTATTGGATTAACTGGTAGTTAAAACAACTAAATTGAAAATATATCATTATGATGTGGTTTGGTGATTAAACCAATGTTCTCATTAAATTTCACAATAAATGTATATTTTGAATCAATGGTTGTGTGGTGAGAGATGTTTACAATCCAAGTGAATGCACAACGACAGGTTTTGAATGAAAGACTGGCTGCGCTACAAGTGTGACCAGTTTGGAGTTGTGAAAATGTACCACATATTTGTGAAAATAGTACCAAAGCGATAAAAAAAACTGTAAGATCAATGTTTTAGCAGTCAATGTAAAGCAGAAAAAAGTATTACTTAGAGTCTAAGTTAAATAGAATCACATTTATTTATACTAAAATGGGACCTGATTGACAGCCTGTAAAGATGAATCAGTTAGTTGGATCCAGATGCAATTTGCGATTGTTGATGAAGTCTGACACTTTCACCACACCATTGTTCGAGTTCCTGTGAGAAACAAAACAGGATACAGAGAAAATAAGGAATTTATAATGAATGCAAAATGACTCAATAAAATGACTTTACACTGAGCAGTGATGTAACTTGACACTGACACAGTGCTTTGAACGCATCTTCAAACCCTATCTATCGAGGTGTCATAAATGCCTTGTACTCACGCACTCTTTTGCAGATATCTGAGAACTTTGTCAATCTGCGACTGTGAGATGTTCTCATTCCCAGCTGCCAGGTAGGTGTAGAGAAACCGGAAGGTTTCAAAGGACACACATGCATCTGGAGGCTTACAGTTGGAATCGCAGTTCATTATGTAGCAGGCCTGAGTCAAGGCATCTTTGACATTCTGTCAAGAGATGGACTAAGAGGGTGACTTTCTTTTGAATAAAGTATACTTTTTTACTTTAACCTTTATTTAACTAGGAAGTCCCATTGAGCTCAGAATACCTCTTTCTCAAGGGATACATACTTTATTTGTAATGTGACTGATGTACAATCTACAATGATATGACATAAAAATGACATGTTGAATGCATTTATATTTAGTAAATATTATTTACCATTCCAAGATAACTGCAACATGAAGCAAGGAATTTATTCCATTCAATTTCTTCACCAAACTTTCCCATTGAAAGGATATGGTTCAAGGTATTCTCTGGCATATTCAAACTTTTCCATATGAGCCCAATCTCCAACTTTGTAATAGTCCCCCTTTCAGATAACTGGGAGATATATTTTAAAAGGATTCCAGGTTAGTAGGCCTAACCTGTGTGGCTTTGATCATCATCATGAGAATTTGTTAACTGCAAGTGTACTCAAATCATACATCAAGAAATGACCTCAGATATTATACCTGGGAATGTAGAATTCCCAATATCTCATTTGTCAGTTTCAGTTTGGTTTCAGGATTTGGTTTCACTGAAAAAGGCTGTCCTTTCACCATAGCTGTGAAGTACCTACACAAACAAAATAGTATGGGGTTTGAAACCTCACTCACTGCGTGTTTACAATTAAATATGGTGCATATAGTGAAATGCTGGAATGCAAAGAAGCATCTGCTCCTTCAAGTGTTTTTTGAACTTACGCAGTGGAATACTCAATGATATCCTCTGGCTGAGCTCTGATGGCATCTTTGGTGAACTGCAGCAGAAAGTCTGGCAATTCTTGTGGAATATGAACACCCATTCCAGTGTGACTGCATCCACTTTCACTTGAATTAGGCCTAGACATGTCTGGGAACACAGAGGGTACTTAAGGTGTTCTGAGAGAGAGAGAGAGAGAGAGACAGAGAGAGAGAGCTAACTTTTTCCATTTTTCTTTTCATTATTCTTATACTTTATGTTCACACATTTACATTTACATTTAAGTCATTTAGCAGACGCTCTTCTCCAGAGCGACTTACAAATTGGTGCATTCAATTTAGGATAGCCAGTGGGACACACCCCTGTATAATTTCATTATGTTGTTATTTAATTTAATTATGTTACATGTTTTTGATTGGTTTTTGTGGCACCCTAAAGATTATTTATAGAGCCCCCATGTCACCATTCAAATGTTGTTGTTTTTTATCAAGAAGTTCATCCCTCTGATCTTCAAGTTTGCCTTGATAGAAAATGTAACGTTAAGCCCCATCTTTATTTTCTCTACATTTTTAGGACTAACATTAGCGTTAGTGGTAACAATACAATGTGTTTTTCTGCCAGTGAGCACAGGTATGTTTTTTCAACAGGTATGAATTCCAACATAGTCCACACCTGATAAATAAGAAAAAAGTGAAACTTACTTGAACTCTTTTAGCTCTATCCCAAGAAAGAAAACAAATCTAGTATAGTGTACTTTCTGTTCAATTTGTTTATTTTTAAACGAATACCTGCCAGGTAGGTAGCCAAGTAACGCCGTTCTTGTGACGTTCTTGTGACGTGTAGGCCAAGTTGCGCTGACTCACATTTTTGGTGTTCTACAGAAAACACTAGGCTACCACTAGAGGGCAATGTTTAGCTTTCTATCTAGCAGACAGACGACAGCGTGATCGCAGTGCCACATCGAATGCGATGCCTTCATGATTTTAATAAGCCTAATGAAATATCAACATGCGAACCTTAACTTTGATCTTATTTCATGTTTGGGGAAGGCTACACAAATGCTTAAATAAAATCCACCCGAAACTGTTGACAAGAAACAGGCTACTACATGTCATAGAATGACTTTTGGGAAAGTTCCCATGTGCATCCATAGCGAATTGCCTCCCAATTAGACCTATGATGAGATATCTTTCGATAGAGGGCATCAACCGGACCAAGAATAGTGCCTTTGAATAACAAGACGTGGTCTCGTGTAGCTCAGTTCGTAGAGCATGGGGCTTGTAACGCCAGGTTTGTGGGTTCGATTCCCATGGGGGACCAGTATGAAAAATGTATGCACTCACTAAACTGTAAGTCGCTCTGGATAAGAGCGTCTGCTAAATAACTAAAATGTCAATGTCAGATGAAGGGGCGAGAGGGGTAGTAGGCCAATAGATTAACAAATATTATTTTTCTAGTCATGATCCTTGGCAGGGTGATTTTTAATCTTGTGTTGCCCCCCCTAAAAACATAGGTTTGTTGAAAGTAGTTATATTTAATTACATGCCTTCTTGTATCAACTTTCTCTAGAGCGAGCACTTCACTCACCAGCAATAAGTGAAAAAGGAATGGAGTTTGTTTAGGGGGCGTGTGTTTAGGGGCGGAGGAGGGTGCGGAGGGGTCCGATTCTGAGCTATTGTTAGGAATACACCCTGCTGATACTGCTTGTATCTACGCGATTAGTGGATTTTACAATCAATAAGAAGGCAATGGATTTGGGGGAAGATATGGACATTAGCCTACTATTATGATATTTTTTTCTGAAAACGTATAGATGTAAAATCATGTTGATGTTTTTTTTATAGCCAGACCAGACCATTATGCAGATTTCGTGACATCACTAGAATGAACTGCCAAGAAACCGTTCTAATGCAACCATATGCTGATGCCTTGTCTTTGTAGGTTACAGCTGCTCTGGCTATATTATATTCAAGACGTGGGGCGTTTAGAGTAAATCCGGTGTTTTGCCAATAGAACAACCCATTTGCAATCTTACGGTATCTTCATTGTGTCACACGCGCCTTGGGTTCCTTTTGTGGCGCCGGGGCTGAGAGAGGAGGAGGTAGAATTTTAAACAATAGAGCGCAAAATACAGCCCTGCTCCTTAGAGCTTGTAACAAGGACGGGAACCTACGACTGGAAAGCGAACAGCTGTGACAAAGAACTCAAGAACATGAAGAAGCTCGTGCACTGATTTGGTTATAGTAATCACTGGATATACTTCGCGCTACGTTGTCTCTGACATCCTCAAGGAGAAAACATGAATTCAGCTGAAGGAGCCGAGGAGGGACCAAATGATTCCGATACGGATGCGTTTTTCAAAACAGGTAGGATGAAATTACAGTATTTGAAACCATTTCCCTCTGTGTAGTGAAACGTTTCGATACATTCAGTGTTGTGTGGGGTAGGCTATTGTGTTGAACCTATGGCAAATCCATCTCATTCATAGCCCCACTTGGTTTCTGTGAGTTCATCGGCTTAGGTACCAGTGCTCAAATCCAAAGAGTGTGGTATTCACAGTCATTGTCATTCACTCACACCCTGTAAGCATTTAATTGATTAAATCTGTAGAATTATGTCATATTTGGTATATTAATGTTCTATTAGGCTGTATGATGAGAGGAAAGTGTATAATGGACACTTGCTTTTGAAGGATATTTACACTCATTATTGCAGGACAGTGAACAAATGACTTACACACACACACACACACACACACACACACACACACACACACACACACACACACACACACACATACATAAAGAGATACAGTATGTGTTAGTAAACACTTGTCACCAGGGGAAGTTGACAGCTTGAGATGATCTTATGCCATTCATAAAGTAGAGTATTCACACCCTGGACTGCTTAATGTTAAATGAGTGCCTGTATCCGTTAGTGAGGGACTCCCATCACAGTGGAAAGGCAGTTTCTCAGGGACAACCCTGGCAGTCTGACACTGGTCATGTTTAGTGCCTCTTCACAATGTGTATCCCTGAGCAGTCTGCTGTGTGTGTGTATGTCACACACGTTCTGCATGCTCTACTGGAGAAGGGGGACACACCCTGCCTCTCCATTTCACTCTAGTCTAGTGCATGGGAATCACACCCAGCTCTGCCGCCACACACCCACTACAAAGTAGTTCTCATCTCACACAAACATATGTATCTCCATTTACAGCTTAATCAGTGGGATAAGTGGTTATTAGGGCCGGGCAAAAGACTAGGTTTGCATCCCAAATGGCACCCTATTCCCTATATAATGCAGTAAGTTTGACCAGGGCCTATAGGGCTTTGGTCAAAAGTAGTGCACTATAGGGAATACACTGGTCAAAGGTAGTGGAATAGGATGAAGTAGTGCACTATATAGGGAATAGGGTGACCTATTCTTTTAGTTGTGGCTGTCTGACTGTGTTCTCTCCTTTTCTGTAAGTCAGTTAGAATGAGAGTAGGAGCTCGCTTCCTCTTTCCTCAGAGGAAGGTCATACTGGAGAGGCTCTTACTGTTTTTATGCAAAGTATCCTCATTGTAACCGGAGAATAATCTATCAGGCATCCTCCACTGTGGGTAGAGAGCCGATGAGAACCAGGAAGTGGGACAAAACACAAGCTGGGGGAAAAGTGGCGCCCCGGCCCAGATACATTGTGCCTTTGGTGTCTACGGAACCACACCACAGCAGCACTGGCTTTTTCTTCATCTACACCAAGATGGAATTGAAATGACTCACAGATGGCGAGATCTGTAAAAGCCACTGGTGAGGAATATGACTTTGCTGTGGTGGTACAGTGGAGACCAAAAGTGGACATCTGCTCCTGTTTCCCCAACTACGATCTATCATTGATAGTTGTATTGATACACCATGGCAGGCCCTACCCTGGGGGCAGGCAGGCAGGGGGAGAGACCGTAAACCATGAAAGGCCCCTCGCCGGTCCCACTCAACCACAGCACCAACCAGGAGTGGGTGTTTGCCCTGCGAGAGAAAGACATTATGTGGCTGAATGAGCAGTAATCCATTCACAACGGCCGGCTGAAAGAGCGCTAAAGTAGGTTTATGTCCTGAGCCTCACAGGAGACTCCATGCCTGCTTAGTCAGAGCTTAGAGGTAGATTAACCTTGAATGCAAACTTTAATTCACCCCTCTTTGTAAAGTGGATTCCGAGTGGAAGCGTATTCTCGCGTACGACATAGGTCTTTGCCTCTTTGCCTGCAAGGCTCACAAAGTAATCAGAGGGCCGTGTGGAACTGTATTTCTCCCTCTGTCTGCCTTTTTGATTATATGTAATTGGTAGCCATGGCAATCACTTTGCTGGGTAATTTCGGCTGCTGCTCTTGGCTTTTAACAAGTAGTTCCCTAGCAGAGCAAGGGCCATCATCAGTACAGATAATCATTGCTGGAGATTGACAGAGGCAAGCTCATGGATTAATATCTGATTTGCTTTAACATTTCAGTCTGCAAGAAATAAGTAAAGCTGAGAAAAAACTCCAGAGCAGCTGGGTTGAAAGGGGCTACTTTAGCTGATTGGACCTTGCGACATTGTGAATATGAAGTAGGCTTATTAACCAAATTAATTGATAACATGATTAGACCTACAGTTTGTATTAAAATAGGGTTATAAAACCCAGATCAAAAATTACATGTACACAGTTCCTTAGTGGCTATTGGGCGTTGTAGAGGGTTAGCTCCATTCATTATTAAAAGCCCTGGCCAGTGTGTAGTCACACAGCTTGCTCAAATCTGCTAGGGCAGCTGGTTGACCCTAGTGCCCCCAGGACCTTTTTAATTTTCCACTTCACTGTGTGATATAGGACCTGCTCCCTCTCAGGGAGCCAGTGACTGCGTCCCAAATGGCACCCTATTCCCTATATAGTGCACTACCTACAGTGGGGAGAACAAGTATTTGATACACTGCCGATTTTGCAGGTTTTCCTACTTACAAAGCATATAGAGGTCTGTAATTTTTATCATAGGTACACTTCAACTGTGGGAGACGGAATCTAAAACAAAAATCCAGAAAATCACATTGTATGATTTTTAAGTAATTCATTTGCATTTTATTGCATGACATAAGTATTTGATCACCTACGAACCAGTAAGAATTCCGGCTCTCACAG